AAAAAAGTGAATGAAATATTTCTTACAAGAAAATATTAAATTGTCTAAAATGTTTCAGGAAATTAAAAATACACGAATAGCCCAATATATATGGTATAAAAATGAAAGAAATTTATATAGGGGAATTTCTGTCAAATATTTAAGGGATAAATAATCCACAAGCTATTTAAGCTGTTCCAGGGTGGAAAAAAAGCTAACTGTCTTGAATTTCACCAAAGTCTCCTATCAACTAATTTTACCAGAGTTTAATAGCCACTTTTAACAAAAATAACTTCTTCCCTATTTCCCCACAACAAAGAAAATCACCGATCCCTTTTTAAAATATACTTTGTAAGAAACATCCTTAATAAAATGTTAGCAAGCTGAAGTCCTCCATAAATTAATTCAGTCACATCTTAATTGCAACAACAGAATCCACTGTGACTTGAACAGAAATGAAGTTTCTAAATGTAGCTTAAAGAAATCATGGGAGCAGGGGCTCTGCAGGCTGGGGCTGGTGCCTTTGCCCAGCGGCCAGGTGGCTCCGGGAAAGATTTCCGGGTCTTGCTGCCGGGCTTGTGTTTCATGGCTGCGCTATTGATACGGATGGAGCAGGAGTCTGGCCAGTGCTGCTTTTGAATTGGCCTTCCCAGCAACCGTCCTTTCCACACTGGAGCTTATGCAGTACTTGCTTCTCAATGGCGTTTGTGAATTTGGCTGAACCTGGTTATGTATTGGGACTTCTCCTTGCAGGGGAGGCTGAAGAAGCGTTTCTGTCTTGTAACTTGGGATTCACAGTTTGAAAAATGTGTAAACTTCTGCAAACAGAAGAACGTTATGTAAAAGCTGGTTACTTTATGAACCAGGTAATGTAAAGCCCATTAACTCCAGGACAATTCAACATTAGGAAAATAGGACAAAAATTAGTCATGTTAAAAATTCACGTGAGACGGGTTGCCTGTGTGGCTCAGTGTCTGACTCTTGATTTTTGCTCAGGTCATGATCTCACAGTTTGTGGGATGAAGCCTATGTCAGGCTCTGTGCTACGAGCGTGGAGGCTGCTTGGGATTCTCTCTCTCCCTCTCTTTCTGCTCCTCCCTCCCTCCCTCTCCCTCTCTCTCTCAAAATAAATAAATAAACAAAAATTTTGCATGAGAAAAATAATTATCTCAATAGATGGTGAAAACATTGAATTATATTCAGTATCAATTCTGGATGAAAAGTCTCAGTAAGTTAGGAAGAGAGGTTTTTGGTTTTTTTTTTTGATATGGTAAGGAATATTTAACTTAAAATGAGAGATAAAAAAATACTATATAGTGAAACATAAAATGTATTATTTTTATCACCACTGTCATTTCATTGCATTTGAGAAATTCAAATCAATGCTATAAGAACTATGACTAACAGTGGATCCAGAAGAAAAAAGTATTGGTAATTGCACCTCTGTTTTTCTTTGAAAAGGCAAGAAAATCAACTGAAACTAACAAAGAGACAAAGGGATTGCTTCATAAGATGAAATAGCAGTAGATACGTCCTCAGTTTATAAGCAATATGTGAGAAATATTGTGGGTTAAAATACATTAAAAATTTTAAATGACTAAGAATAATCTTTAAGCTACAAATCTTCACTGAGGAGAATAAAAGATTTCAGCAAGTGGAGATGCATCACATTTACTTAGATAAGGAGACTTAATTTTATTCCATTATCAATTCTAATCAAGTTCTTTCTGTTAATATAAGACAGGCTAAGCTTTGGAAACTGGCTGAAAAATTATAAACTTCACTTGAATGAATTAAGTTTCTGTGCTGTTCTACATTTGGAATTGACACATTGCTACTAGGAATTTACAGTTTACTTTTATTTTTTATATGTCGCTATTTTTCTCAAATTCTCAAGTCCTACCAGAATTTCACGCTGGAGAGATGGCATAGCTATTTGTACATTAAAAAAAAAACAAAATAACCTGGATAAAGAAAATGTAAAAGAAACCCTACCTTTTCAGATACTGTCACTATTTGGAGGAAGAATTTAGAATATCTCTTTAGCCACTCTAGCCATCCTAGGTACTACACGGTAGCGTTTAAATGAGCTCATCGAAATATGAAATAGCATTGTATATGTAAGTATACATGCAAGTCATCCTTCACATCCTCCAGATGTGAGTTCTCTTCATGCTCTGTGATTCCTGAAATTTAGTTTTTGGAATGGTCTGGTAGATTGCAACTGTTAAAAATATATCAGATATTATCTGAACTTGTACATCATCAAGGACTGTATTAGGCATTGTACGAAATGAGTACCAAGGATAACAATAACAAAGTCATGGGCATGTCTGAAGGAGCTTATCCATGCAAAAAGCTTTCCTCATTTTTAGGATGAATTTGACATAGGTTTAGTATAAACATAATCAGAGATTAGAGTCTGATCAGATATTTTAATTTTATAGTTACAGTAATTTTTTAAGTGATGGATGATGTTGAGATTCTATGTGTATTATAATATTCATGTGAGAAATCACTACACTACTCTCCTTAAAAATGGTTCAATTATATACACATTGTTTTAAAATGGTCTATAAGGGGTCCCTGGGTTTCTCAGTCAGTTGAGCCTCTGACTCTTGATTTTGGCTCAACAGTCAAATGATCGCAGTCTTGGGAGATTGAGCCCTGTTTTGGGCCCCATGCTGGGCATGGAGATTGCCTGAGATTCTCTCTCTCTCTCTCTCTCTCTCTCCTTCTGTCTCTGTCTCTGTGTCTCTCTCCCCCTGTCCCTCTCCCCTGCTTGCATTCTTTCTCTCTATGATAAAAAAATAATGTGATTTATAAAGAAAAAATGAATATATATACACATACATATATATGTATATACACACACACACTCACAATAGCTAGTCACTGTCTTTTCCAAATCTGAGGCTTACTTCATTGGCACATCTAACTTCAGTCTACTTAATACGATTTTTTTTCAGTCTTCCTGTTTATGTAGTTTTCGTTCCTTAGCTAAGATTAGGTAAAGTAAAATCTGTAGCATTCTAAACATTTTAACTTGTATATAAACAGGAAGATTCAAAGGAGGTTAGCTGCAACAAGGGTTAGACCTACTAATGAATTAGAGTCTTAGATTGTAAAAGAAGACCTCATTGGATTTTGCATATTTGTCAGAAAAATCCTGTGGTTTTATTTTTCTCCGTTTTTTTTTCTTGTGACTGTGCCAGGAGATAAAAACTGAACAACTACATTGTTAAAAAACATCCTTTTAAAGAACAGGTGGAGAGGAGAATTCGAATGCATGTCTCCAGAGACAAGTGAGAAGTCCAGGAGCTAAAACTGAACTTTCACCCTGCTAAAGCAAACAACTATAAAAAGATTGCCTGCAGGGGCAGCGATAAAGACAGAGAAATTCACAAGGTTGGTTAGTTACAGTAAGCTCTGTTACTTTAGTTTCCTAGTTTTTAAAGTTTGAGAACGTTTTAAATGTAAGGCTGTAGTGATAGTAAATTGGCTAGCATGGATGTGGTTAATTACTCTTGTATGTAGGGAACATCAAAATTGGTATACTGATTTAAGGTAGTTGGTTCTTTGTGAGGGATTATTACAAAATTTATTTGTGATAGGTATAATGACTTTTCTAGGTATTATTTACTTTGATAAAATGAACAGCATTCTGGTACTTAATTTCAGTATTATTGGAATAAAATCAGAGGTAGTGGATGTGCCTATATAACAAATATTTTCTCAATGAAGTGCTCATTAGTTAAACTCGACATTTTACCTGTGACCCTGGTGCCAGAGGATATTATTTTATCCTAGTAAGGTAGCTTTGTATGTGTTTCTCATGAAGTTATGCAAGGAGTTATATCACCCTTCTTATCCTGGGGACCCTTCCTAATGCTTTCCCTAAACACACTCCTCATACTCAGTTCCACTCAACTGGAGAATTTACTCACTGTAACTAACCAACCTTGTGAATTTCTCTGTCTTTATTGCTGCCCCTGCAGGCAATGTGTAGGGGAGATCATGTGAGTTCCTACGGACAACTGGATTGTCTAGCTCTCTGTAACCTGTGTTCAATTCAGGTTGTGGGAGTTCTATTTATTTCCTGCTTTTCTCCCTCTCGTCCTATTTCATGCACACCTTCTTCTAGCTACGTAAGCATAACTTGAGTTGATTTTCTCCAACAGGAGTAGGCATAGTGTCTGCAATGATAGCAGCCCCAAGACTAAATAGGTTGCCACTATCTCTCACTGTCTGCATTCCAGAGTAAAAGTGACAGCTAAAACTATATGCATTGAGTCTAAAACAGAAATGGATTCCCCGTCCTTTTATATTCTTGAGCAGAGATGTGAATTACTCTTTTTAAGGGTTTTGGTTCACATGGACACAGGATTCACTTGTGTCTGCTGGACAACACCTACAACATGATTCACTATCTTTCATTTTCCTTTTCAGGCAGATACATATTATCTTCCTGATGACTTGGTTTTATAGCCAAAACAAAACAAAAACACCGTCCGCCACCTTCAACCATTCCATATGTTGTTTTTTTTTTTTAATCATTTCATAAGTGTTGAAATATTACCCTTGACATGTGGGAGATTTTACACTGGGATGCCTGTAAAATCCCAGATTTTTACTTAATTGATCTCCTATTGTCTTTTAGACAGTGATACATAGCAAAACTTTCATTGCCCTTGAAACTTGGCTCTTGAGCTGTAATATGAAACAAACAGCTGGGCTTACAATGGGGAGCTGAAGGCATTTTCATGAATGAAGTAATTGAAAATATATGATCTCATTTCATACGTTTATGGTAATGTACTGAGTCTGTACAGTGAATATACTAGGATGGCTAGAAGCCTTTCAGACAGAGTCATGGATCACTGAATGTTGAAATTGGTTCATTCTTGCAGATAGAATAAGCGTGTGTGTTAAATTCAAAAGTATATAAAACTGAATTAAGATTCTGAATCAGGTCAGAAATACTGGGAGCCATTAAAAATGTTCTTTTTAATTGCCTATAGGAAGGATAAAGATGCACAAAGGAAACAGTTATGAGACGTGAAGGATTTCAAGAGGGGACAAATACCTCATTCAGTGCTCTGCCTGTTGCTGCAATGGGAGATCAAGATTTTTCATCTCCTCTTTCTGTCATTTCTAAGTCAGGAAGAGGAGACGAGTGACAGTGACCTGGGTCAAGGACAAAATGAATTCCTTAGAGTCATTATAGGAAAACAGCACTGGGCATAAGCATTTTAATGTAAAAATGGAGAAGGTTAAAAGTGCAAGTGTTTATACATGACTTGTTAATTAGATTTTGTCTTTTTAGAGTTAAGGCTTCTCTCTTGTGATTAACTCTCATTTTGGATTCATTTTCTGTTTTTGTCTCACGAAGCTAAGGAGAACTCTGGGACTTGCTTCTGTTTGGAAGTGGACAAGTTGCCCCACTTACCCCCTTCCCCTCTACCCAGTGAGCCCAGGGAAAACCCAGCAGAAAGACCTGCACTGAATTGTTTTGACTATTGTTCATGGCCTGAAGGAAAAAAAATGCCTTCTTTCCTTAACATGCTTTCGCTTACATTGATCTCTTTTGGATTCTTCTCATTCTAAGTGTTACAATCTAGCAGACCTAGGTCAGGGTGTGTGCTGAGGAAAATGGGGCAGAGTGAGTTACTCCACCTCTTCCTAGACTGGAGCACATAGAAGTGGGTGGACTTAGCCCTGTCTTCAGCCTAAAGGAATGTTTTGCTTCTAGTCTAACAACCTTGGCACAGCTAGGAGTTTTATATATTTTTGGATCAAATTCTCTGCTTTAGATTTTGGGTGTCCTTATCTTTTCTCTGTATCCGTGTATGTGCATGCATGTGCGCGTGCGCGCACACACACACGAAGGATATGGGAAACTCATTTTGGTGGGAGATCTGGCTTTCACAGTCACCTCGTAGTGCCTGTGATTGGGAGTGCGGCCATCTCTCTCCATCTTGGATGTACTATTAAAATCATGTAACTCTCTCTCATAGAAATTTGTGGCACTTACCACATAATTGTTTTATTCTTGCACATATTCAAGCTCTGCCTTCTTTATTAGGCTCAAAGCTGTGTGAGAACTGAATCTACATCTGATTCATCTTTAATTCCCACCGGTGCTTACACATAAAAGCAACTCAAACGTTTGTTGATTAATACATGCTTCCTATAGCAACATTTAAACAAGCCCTGAGGGACCCTTTATGATAAATTAACAACTGGTTCTTTGAGTAACTTTGAACATCTGTAGAGTTAGAGGTGAGATGTCTCAGTAGTACCAGCATTTTTCTAAAGTATTTTATAATAGAAAATTAGACACCTGCAAAAGAAGAAAGAAGAGGAAGCCTGGTGATGAGCCTGATTTATTCATCAGTGAGCTTCAATAATTATCCAGATGTGAGCAATCATTTGTCATCTATACCCCTGTTCAGTCTCCCCAAATGTAGTCATATTATTTGGAAAAATCCCAAGCCATTATTTCATTTCAACTACAGATATTTTATAATACTATATTTATTTTAAATACTATGCTGCATGTATGTTTTTAGGTTTCCTATGTCATATTCTTCTAAAAAGGTAGCATATATCATACTGTGTTTTGGGGATGTGTTTTGGGCTAAGTGGGTGAGTTTTCTGGAGTTGATTTGGGGATCACCAGAAACCCAATGTGAATCCTATGATGAGGTGGTTAGAATACAAGATGATGCAATAGAAGAATGTAAAACACAGCGAAGGGAAGTTTTGTGTGTTTCTTGTTACTCCTATTCGAGTGCCAGCATTCCAAAATGGAATCAGATTTTCCAGACCAAGCTCAAGTTTAGTGATAAATTATGGTGGCTAACATGTCAGGTGGCACCAAGTCATGGATCTGCTGCAGGCACACTTCCAACACCTGGAATGCTTCAAGGTTACCTCCAGACACCGCAGTGAACATCTGAGTGGAGACAGGCGTGGGAACGCTGCTGTCATCATGCCCATCAGTCTGGCCACCAGTCACAGCAAGACTCCCTGTGGTTCATCTTAGTGAAATCACCGTGGTCTCTAAGCATGGTTTCTAAGCAAGTCCTGCTGTGTAAAAGCTTTGTAGTCATCACATTTGTATCTCTACAACAATTAGTGGAGTGTCTAGAAGGTGCACAGCAGGTACTCAATACCTTTTTGCTTAATTCAGTGATGAAGAGAAATAGGATAGCATGTAGAAACCAGAGCAACAATGGGTAGGTACACTGAAGGATTTCACGAAACACTGCCTAACTGTTGAATTTTACAAAATACAGGGGTAGAGGTGTGTTGTTGGCATGTGGCAAAGAGCAAATAAGATGGATGACATTTTTTTTAAATAAATTTTTTGGAGAGAGAGAGAGCAAGCGGGGAAGGAAGAGAGAGAGGATCTGAAACAGGCTCCACACTCAGCATGGAGCCCAGCACAACCCTGGGATCCTGACCTGAGCTGAAATCAAGAGTCACACTCCGCTCACCGAGCCATCTGGGCACCCAAGGATGGATGACTGTTTTAATATCATGTGGTCAAAACCACATATATACTCTGGATAGATTTACATAAGGCACTTGAGTTTGAGGTGTGTAATGGATACATAGTGGCAGGTGGGAGCCTGGCTCTTAAGCCTTCTGAGGAAATCATGTTAATGGATTTCTTTCAGCGGAGGTGTGGATATAAATAGATTGCCATGGGGGAATTTCTCTTGGCAGATCTGGGGCATCAAGAGGTCATATTTCCATTCACAGTATTGTATGGGAGGGAGAATGGTGAACTATTTTGATACAGATTTATGATAAAAAAGTTCTCTGTGATCCTACAGTCCTGAGGTCCTTACTTAAATCGTCCTCATGTAGATTTTGACATTCCTTAGAATTAATGGAATTATCATGGCATTGTTACGCTGGGGATGAGAGCCGTGGGTCTTGCTATGTTTGATGAATATAAATGATTCCTGCCCATCCGTCACTTTTCTTCCATATGGGCTAAAAGCGCGATGCAGTGATTGCTATTAATAGCTACAGAAACATCCTCTATTGGAGAGAAGAACTCTGGTCAAAGGCCGAGGTGGAGTATTAGGCTTTAGACGAGAAACGAGTTAAACTTCCTCCTCCATCTACCCTTCTCCCCCCATTTCTAAAACTCAGGACTCATACATTTTTGTGTGGCCAGGGACAGAGAGAGATGGACAGCCCTAGATGGCGCTGTATGAATTCCGGGAGTGAGTATGAGACTGTGTTTTCAAATGGATAGTCCAATTCCATTCGTGAATTCTGCAAGCGGGGGGCAAGAGCTCTTTTAGAGGGGAAGGATCATAGTAAGGCATAGGGAGCCTGCCTCAGAGCCACCCTGACCCCTCAGTATCTGCATTTCTGACCAATCTGATGAGCACTTTTCTCTACTCTGTGGAGGGGTGTTAGGAGGAAGGTGGACAGACACGAAGGGTATATGATTGTAGCTCCCTTGTTACCTGTTGGTAGTTATAAGAGACTGCATTAACGCGTTGCCTGTAAGTAATGCTTCTTCAGGCTCATTAGCCTGCAGGTAAAAATAAGGTCACAGACTGACTAATATTTTGTTGGCTTAATATTCATACCTGCTAATGCAGAAACTCCATTTCCCTGAACATCACCTCTAGGTACTTTTGGAAGCAGGCAAATCATGTGTGCAGCATTCCTCCACAGAGCTGTGCACCCTCTCTTGTGCTCACAGAGGTACTACATGGGCCTCTCCTGCTCCTCCGGGCACAGTCCCCTTTGGTGTCCCTCTGTGTTGTAAAGGTGTCAGAATTTCGTGGTCGTGTGCGATGAACGTGAGGAAGAAAGGCTCTTTTCTGTTAGATTTATACTGTATTAGAGGTCTGTGTCAATGCTGCATGGACCCAGGGCATATATAAAACTGGTTTTTATGTTCTTCTTAAAACCTTTTATTTTTTTTTAAGTTTTTTAATGTTTATTTTTAAGAGAGAGAGACAGAGTGCAGGCAGAGAAGGGGCAGAGAGAGAGAGAGAGAGAGAGAGAGGTGGGGGGACACAATCCAGAGCAGGCTCCAGGCTCTGAGCTGTCAGCCTGGAGCCCAATGCGGGGCTCGAACCTACTGGCCGTGAGACCATGATCCTGAGCCGAAGTCGGACGCCTAAGCAACTGAGCCACTCAGGTGTCCTAAACCTTCTTTTAAACTAGGACCAAATGCACATCTAGGCCCACCTCGGTATTGGTTGAAGTACCAGCCCTTCTTGGGATATTCAACATCTCTTCCCCCCTTTTGATGCTAAGGTTTTGTCACTTGGTCATGGTTACTAGCCAATTGCTGGTTTTCATTTTGCAAAGGTTATTCTGACAAGGGTTTCACGTGCCTTTGTGGAACCAGATTTCTATCGCATCCTGTCTCTTTGAAGCACAGCAGGGGACAAAGCTCCAGTTTGTTGTCTCCCAGTGGTCCAGGCTCCTGCAAATAGCCTTGTGAGGGCTTCTCCCATGTGCTAACCTGATGTGTCCAGACTCTGAATCTCAAGTCAGATTCAGCTAGGAGGTGACTGCTTTCTTTCTTAGACTTGTCACTCAAACATCCAATGCACCTGACTTTGATCCAGGAATTTATTGAGGTTCCACCTGCACACTCAGTTCAGCACATGGGGTCCAGTATTTTGGCGCCCCAAGTGCTCTAGAATTTAGGTTTGGCAGGGAATCCTTGATTGAGTTTTAAGTTTGATAATAGGTTTCCTGTGCCTTACTTTACGTCCACGTCTTTTCGTGTTTGAACTCTTGGAAAATTGTAACATGGGACTCTTTTTTCAGTGCTGTCTGGGATATTGGCACATTTTGTAATGTGTTACTCTGTGCTCTCTGAAATGTATTTAGAAATAATTAATTTTTATTATGTATTATGTACATAAAATGGTTGCTCTAAGTACATAAAAATAACTCTTTCCTACTTAATTTTAGTTTTTCTCAGCTTTTAAATAATTCACTTATTTATTTACATTATGCTTGTATTTTTATGTTATTTTCTTAAGTATCACCTATACTTAATATCTCTTCGAGGAGGGGTCTAAAATCCATGTCTAGTGAAAGAAAATGATGAAAAAATCATCTCTTGTTCCTTTTACAGCCTGAAATTTCTGCTTATTCTTCGAACCTTGCCGCCAGCTTCTCATTACTCTTGTTTCTAAGTTAAAATGATGGGATTAAATTGGCCAGAAACCTTTAGCTTAGTTATAAAATTTTAATAGCTAAAAGCTTTTA